TGGTGGTGCTCTTGCATCATTCCCCCCCCAAAAAAAATATAGTCCGCCCCCCCACAAAGTCTGAGGGACAGTGGACTGGCCCTCTGCTGAAAGAGTTTGCTGACCCCTGGTTTAACCAATCCCCTCTGTTCCAAAGCGTACAGTCACATACTCCCTACATAGATGTTAACACAATAGGAGACAGGAAGTGTTAGGGAGTAACAATGACCCAGAGAGAAATCCATTGGTAGAATGGATTGAGACCAGGTACTTTCAAAGCCTGAAAACAGGAAAGTCCAGAGTCCAGAGGAAAAGTGTAAATAGTTTTATTGTTCGTAGGGAAGGGGTGGGGAATAGGGGTGATTGACAGGGGTGGGTGACAGGCTCATGTTTCCACATGCCAACCACTCCTCCTTTACGACAAATTTGTGATGTACTGATAATGCTGTTGGAAGTGTATGATGGAAAAGGGGAGAGAAGTTTTAAAAGTCTGTGCAACCCCTTGCTCGGGGTTCTTACTCGCTGTGTTTTGAACCTTGTTGCAACAATAAAGATTGGGTCTACTGACCGCTGTTTTGCTTCTTCTAACTTGACTGGAGACTCTTTGCTGACCGGAGGGACCCGCGGGGAGTGGCACCCTGACAAGCTGGGCAGCAGAGCAATCCCACATCCCAGGTTTTGTTTTTCCTTATCCCCAGAAACATGCCTCTGAGCTGTCACAGCATCATGTGAATTTTACTTCTGCAGGTTAGTTCTTCTGTGGGAGAAATACACACTTTCAGGCATGGATCTGGACCACACTTGTTTTCTCCTACAAGGCAGAGGTCCAGCACACAAGAGCAAAATAAAAACTTAAGGAAAAGGAGGGAGAATAACGAAACAGGGCACCTCTCAGTTTATCTTAGCATGGGAATTTGTTTTTAGTTCCATAACTGATGTCACATTCCTTTCATACAAAAATCTATTCCTGGTTTCCCTTAAAGTTGCTTCTTTTAAGCAGCCTAATTTGGATTGAGGGGGTGGGGAGTTATTACTGTTGTTAAACAATTGAGAATCAGGAACCTTGATGATTCTACTGCAAATCACTAAAAGATATACCAAGAGCATGATCTACCTTCTGCCTGCCCCTGAGTATATTATATTGTGCTATTGTTTTGTTTTACTGCATTGCTATATTTAATCTTGCCGATTGCTTTGTTGTGCTTTTTAAAAGTTGTAAAAGTTTCTGAATAAATGTTAACAACAGCACACGGTCCTGTTGAAGGTCCTGGGATTGGCAGATTGACACATATACAAAAAACATATTCTTTCTCTCCTTAACATACATCCAAGATTCTGGGTTTGCAGAACAGAAGGTTTCTCATCAACAATTCCGCAACTTACCAGTCATATTCTGATTTAAATTACTATTTGTTGAGACAGGAAAAAATACAGAGTATAATGTATAGCATGAAAATGTCAATTTTATTCAGATTTAAACGATTTTTAAAATAGATAATTCAAAAACGCAAAAACCAGGTAACCAACTGGAATGTCTTAAGTTGTATCTAATTGTCTGTGCAAAGTTTTACAGGAAAAATTATTCAAATCTATACATATTTGTTGTTTTCATTTGTCCTCTCACAGTTATAGTTTTTACAATACCAATAAACTGTATTTTATTGTTTATAAAACGCTAAATGGACTTTCTCCTAATATTTATGGCTGCATATTTGTTAGATTGATAACTAAAATACATGTATTTCCCCCCCTCACAATTCTGTTGAATAAATACCTGGAAATGCTTATTCATTATCATTAGCTTTGTGTAAACAGGACGAGATTTAGCTGCCATTTGATTTTGAATTTTGCAGCAGTTATACTTCATTAACAAAGTTGAGTCAAAAGAGCCTCCAGTAAGCTCTTTTGCGAGATGTTGCAAATCAAGGTGCACAGCTGGTGGGTAAACACTGTCGCTTGATAGCAATTTATTATTTTTCTTATAATGGAACTTTATTATCACTGAAGGGAAAAAAATGCTCAGCTCTAGTTTTGTGAAGTGTTTCCTCTGCGATGCTTTCTTCACAACCTGGTGGTATAACACGATTCTACCTTCTGTATTATCAGGGGCCCACTCTGCTCTCCAGATAATGACCCTGAAAAGTGTGTTCTACTGCACAAACAAGAACATAAACTGGGCTGTAAGGTACTTGTAGTGTTTTCTGGGCTGCTGCAGGACTGGATTGTACCAACAACAGGGCAGAGCAGTCTCAAAGCACTGAAGCAAAGAGCTTTTCATTTGACTGGGCCCCATTGAGAAGTAAGCTGGTTTTAAAATCTGCATACGCAGAGTGTAAGAGCAGTTTATGCATTCCAACCCATGGATATGAGCCAATTCTTGAGCAAGCACCATTGAAAGTAAGGGGAGTCCCAGACAACTGTCCCTCTGCAGCTCATGACTCTCTCCTAGAGAATCCATAGCATAGATACTGTTGGTGGGACTTGCCTGTTTCCTTAAAAGGAACCAAGTTTCTCAAGTGGGAGCCCAGGCCATAGCCAATTGTGGAGAATGGTTGGTACCTTCCGATTTCCCCTGCGACGCATAGCTGTCAACTTACAGATTTGAAAATAAGGGACCAGTAGTCTTGAAAATAAGGGATCAGCAGCCAAAATAAGGGATTTTCCGAGCACAGGTATGTTCAGCTTCTGAGCCCCTCCGAGCCAAAAGGCAGAAAGCCCAGCCCGCAGCCAAATGAAGCCTCATCTGTAAGGGACAGCAGTGGGACATGGCGCTGGGATAAGGGACTCTCCCGCCAAATAAGGGACGCTTGACAGCTATGCCTGCGAGAGTAAAACAGAGCAAGTCAGACTGCTCTGTGCCATCCTGCTGGTGCAAGGAGGAAGCAAAATGAAGGGCAGTTGTGGGCAGAGCAGCCCACAGCCCCACAACCAGTTGTGAAGGCTCTCATATTCTTCCAAGTGCCTGGTGGGTTGCCAAGCTGGAGGTGAAAGTTGTGGGCAGAGTGGAGTTTGGTGCATAAGCAGTGAGGCTGGACATACACACTTGGATTGTGGGAAGGCGCTGCCCTCTGAGACTCACTGGCTCTGTGCTCCCCAAGAGGGAAAGAGGCCTGCTGCCACCCCTCCCTCCCTTCTAGGGGTTGGCCAGCTGGGCCTCTACCAAGGGTGCAGGCCCAGGAGGGCACAAAAATCAAAGCTCTCCACTATAGCTCAGAGTGGCTAGGAGCCTGCCTGCACATGTGCACACTCCCTAGTCTGCTCCTAGTCTTGGAGGAAGGCACAAGGGACGAGGGCGGGGTGTGTGTGCTGATACAGCTCCCTGCCAAGGGTGCAAGGGAGCCTAGGTATGCCTCTGCTTCTGGAGCAAGTGTTTCATGCATTTTGGAGACTCCATCACTGGAATCTAAAAGGAATACAGTGGTACCTCAGGTTAAGTACTTAATTTGTTCCGGAGGTCCGTACTTAACCTGAAACTGTTCTTAACCTGAAGCACCACTTTAGCTAATGGGGCCTCCTGCTGCCACCACGCCACCAGAGCACGATTTCTGTTCTCATCCTGAAGCAAAGTTCTTAACCTGAAACACTATTTCTGGGTTAGCGGAGTCTGTAACCTGAAGCGTATGTAACCCGAAGCGTATGTAACCCGAGATACCACTGTAGAACTAAGCTTGTATGAATGCTCACCCACACAGCTCCGCCGTGCTTGCAGGAATTTACAGTCATCCAGTGACTGTGGTAAATAATGAGGTGCTGCCGATACTCACAGCTCAATAGAAGTGTTGTGGCTGCCAGTGCACAATGGATGCCATGGGCAGCAAGAAAAGAAGGGTCAGTCAAGTGTAGTCCAAGAGTATATCAAAAGTGGCTTATTTTAGTCCTTTAAAATAGTTGTTAAGTGTAGGACTTGATCGGGAGATAGTAATTTGGACTATGAAAAGTGTCAAAGAACGTCTGAGAAATTTGTTACTAACAGTAAATTAATCAGCCAACCATAACATCCCTAAGACTCAGATGAAGGGCAGTATATAAATTTAACAAATGAATGAAAGAATGCATCTGCTGCCATGAAACATTCTCCTGCATGGCTTCTTCCCATCGCCAGCTAAACCATCAAAGTAGAAACTGCAAATGAGCAAACCTATCAGGCTTTGCTGTTGACCAGCCTACAGGCATTCCAAATCCAGTGCAGGTGGGATTATTGCACAAGGAGTCCCCCAAATTAGGCAAGCAACGCGACTGAAGCCCATAGCCAGAAATAGGGAATATGGGGGGGGGGATCACAGTACGTCATGCAATACAGGAAAGCCCTATGTTGCAATTAATATGTCTAAAGTTGTTTACCCATGCAAGATTGTAATAAAATCACATTTTAATAGAATTATGAAATAAACATCAAACATGTCAGTCAAACCAGTGCCTTTGGTGCTCATTGGTCAAAACAGTGGGAGGTGGGAGCAAGTCTGTGACTTACCAGAGCCTCTGATAGAATTCTGTCTGTATATTTTTTACTTTAAAAGGGCTAAAGGTTTAATTTTTAAGAAATTAAAGCTGAAAATCAGGAATATAGGTAGCTGTCATATACCGTACATGAGTCAGGCTATTGATCTATCTAGCTCAGTATTACTTACACAGACTGACAGCAGCAGCTGTCCAGGGCCTCTGACAGGGGTGGGGTGGGGGGGGAGACTTTCTCAGGCCTACCTGGAGATGCTGGGGATTGAATCTACTCTTCCACTGAGCTGTGGCCCTTCCCTAAATTTCCATGAGTGGGGCAGACCCACCAACATATTCCCTGTCTCTGAAATGGCCGTGATACTGGCACAAGCAATATACACTACAGTTCTGCATTTTCTATTCACTTGGTGTATCTCTTCATTATACAGTGGTACCTCGGGTTAAGTAATTAATTCATTCCAGAGGTCCATTCTTAACCTGAAACTGTTCTTAACCTGAAGCACCACTTTAGCTAATGGGGCCTCCCGCTGCCGCCGCGCCGCCGGAGCACGATTTCTGTTCTCACCCTGAAGCAAAGTTCTTAACCAAGGTACTATTTATGGGTTAGCAGAGTCTGTAACCTGAAGCGTATGTAACCCGAGGTACCACTGTACTCTTATAAATCAGAAGGAAATGTTGCACAATATCCAGCAGCACCATGCGATATTACAAAAAATTGACCCTTAATCTTAATGAAACACAAGAGAGAGAAAAGGGGGGGGGGCGTGAAATAAAGTGAAAGGTCGTTTTGTCAAAATACTTGCTTGCCAAAGCACCTGTACAGAGTCACCTGCTGTTCTGGCTGAAAACAGCAGGGAAAGGGTCCTGTAGAAAGGCTCAAACACAAACCGAAGGTTTGCCGTGACAGTGCAGTTTTAAGTATCTCTGATTTCAGTGGGAAACAGCTGCAGGCAGGGCTGGCCCAAGACATGTTTGCCTTGAGGCGAACCACAAAATGGTTCCCTCACCCCCGCCAGGGAATAAGGGGTGAGTAAAGATTTACATCAGGAACAGGGGTGGTGATAAACATCTACATTGGGCCAGCCCTGGTTGCAGGTGTGTTTAATTCCTCAGTGAAAAATAAATGGGGCTTCAAAATGCATAGATTTGGTCTCGGCATTAAAAAAAGCAGGCTCTGGTTTCTCCAGCAGCAATTATCCATGGCTATATATAAATTTTACATGCTTGGGTATAGAAGCCCATTGCTGCATTAGCCCTAGACTCCCCTCCCATTGAACAGAGACCCCCCATTGCTGAAAACAGCCCCCATGACAAAATTAGGCTTAGAAAAAAGTCTTCTGCTGGCTCCTGTCTTCTGTCCCTCCCCACCAAGCCCAATTGTTGCAGGATGGATGGAGCAACCTGCTTCCTGCAGCCTCCAGGAAGAACACCTCTGCCTCCTCCAGCAGTTTGGCTTGAAAGAGGCCAAAATACCCTTTTTCAGCCTAATTGCTGGGGGGAGGGGAGCGGAGGGAATGCATAATTAGTGTGCATGCTCTTTGCATGCAAGTACATGTGTGTTGTACATGTGTGGTTTGGCCATGCCCACTGTGGCCTCTGTCCCTTGGAGGGTTGGCCAAGAGGCCATTCAGCTCTCAGGCCAAGAGGTTTTCTCACACTGTCCAAGAGAAAGTAAGGCAGGAGTTTGATAATCTTGGGCTAGACGGCTTGGAGAGCTTTTTGAGGAGCAGTGGGGTCTCATAACAGACGAGGGGATTTGGTGGCGGTGGACATACACAGCTGCCTCTAGGCCAGTGTTGTCCTTTCTGAGCAGCTTATGGTTCTCCAGAGTTTCTGAGAGCAAAATGTCTTCCCTTTGACTTGTGAACTTGGGGAAGGGGTAGCAGCAAAGCACCTGCTCTGCTTGCAGGAGGTCTCAGGTCCAATGGAGGTCCTCATGGCATCTCCAGTTGGACTGAGAGAGACTCCCTGCCTGAAACCCCCGGAAAGTTGCTGCCTATCATCCTATTAACTGATACTTTTCTAATCAAAGAGGCTTCTGGGAATTGGCCCTGGCGTCTCCTGTGTGGAAAGCAAGTGGCCATGAGGCCTCTGGCAGTGATTGGATGAGGTAGCCTACCATGACAGAGGGCCTGGCAGGAGGATGGCAAAGACCTGAGCAGTTTAGCCAGGGAGAAAGGCAAAAGCTCTGAAGGCAGGAATAAGAGACTGAGGGAGCCAGGAGGAAGGCATAAGACACAAGAAGATGCAAGAGTTGCAAGAGAGAGCAGCCCAGAAGGGGAGGAGGGGGAAATTAAGGATCCTGGGAACAGACAGGGCTTATCCACGCTTACCTTTTGCTCTGCCCTTCCAGGCAGAGGTCGAAGCTTTAACGCTCCCTGTCTGAGTGTTTTGTTCTTGTTTTCCCTTGAGCTTTCCCTATGAAAACCTGCTGTTTAAAGCTGAATTGGAGCAAATGTCAATTCAGGTTTTCTGTGGATTGAGCTTTAAGAGACGATTTTCATGGCGAAAGCCCCAAACCTTTTGCAATAATACTGTAACCTTCTCAATACCTTGCATGGAAAATGGACAGAGCAGCTTGGGCAATCGCCGCATCACGCCCTGCAAGCTGAGGTGGCCTCTCTTCCCCTCAAGAACCACCTACAGAAGGATGGCCAAGAACTATCCTGTCCAGAGGCAAGGAGAGATCTCACATTCAAAAAGTTTTCTTTCCCTGTAGCTTGTCTCTTTTACGTGTACGTGGTTTTAATTAATACTTATTGTTTTAACATTTTTATGTAAAACCGCTTTCTGGGGTTTGCTGAGAAGCGGTACGTAAATAAAGAGATGGGCCCCCTACTCCCAGCAGCCAGCCTGGCCAGTGATCAGGGATAGGGGGGGCTGTTGGAGTCCCACAGTATCTGGAAAGACACCACAGGTTTCCCATCCCTGTCTTAAATAAATAAATTAAACAAGGCAGGATATACAACTGTGAAACCAACGGAGGACCGTAACATGCAATAGAGCATTAGACCTTCAGCAGAAGGCTGTGTTGCAAACACCTGTTCTGGTGGATCCTCACAATGACTGCCAGCTGATTGATTCTGGATGTTCTCCGGTGGATTTTTGTTCTTGAATTTAGTGGAATATAGATTAGCACTTTTATGTCTCACAACGGAACTCAACGATGGCCAAAGTGCGCAGATTTAAATCCAATTCAGTCCCATGGTAGTGAATGAAACTGATTGAATTGACCTGAATTGCAGACTAGAGATCTTGCATCCTTCAGCATGTTGGAATACATGGCTCTGCTCAAGCATTTGGAGGCCCTGACAAAAATCTGTGACCCAAGTTATGTGAGACAGCTCTTTTGGAGTCAATGGAGCTTAGATCTGGAGTTACAGGGCAGTGGTCCTCACAGGTCTTCCGTAAAAAGTATTTTTGATAGCAATGCTGTCTTTTTACTATTTACAGTAACCATACAGCTCCACAAGATTGGGAGCACATAGCTCTGTCCATCCATCAGATTTATATCGCAGCCTGGATCAACATTATAGGCAGACCAGATCCATTTTTCTTCCAGCTGCTCAGGTGAGCTGCATTCAGATGCCTTTACTTCATTTGCTGAATCTGCTTCTGCAGCTCTTCCTTATCCAGTTTCATTTTGGCTTCAAGAACCTGCCGCAGAGATCCAATGCTCTCATAGATGGTTGCAAATCCTAAACAGGGGAAGAATTGAAACAACATTTGCTATCTTTTTTATTTTTAAACAAACTATGCTGACACTAAAAGGAAGTCTCATCTTCAGTTTAGCTTAATCAATCAATCAATCAGTTTATTGTATATAGCCAAAGGCCTTTACAATGTACAGCAGGGGATAAGATCAAGGCTGAAATCATGCAACATGACCTATAAAAGTTAAAACATAAAAAATTATAGTATGAGGTTTTAAAATTAGGAAGCATTCACCTATCTAGAACTTCTTAGCTGCCAGAGTGAACTTGATGTGCAATTTGGAGATCTTTATCAGCTAGGAGCTCAACTGTCACCTCCTGGGGGGATTGGCCTGAGAAACAGTCAAGAACCAATAATAAAATAAATTCTCCGTGCCTTGAATTTAAAGGGCAAAGCAGCAGGAAATGCACGACATCCCCAGCTTGATTGTATCCATAAATGCACCTGTGTTTCATATGGGGAATTCCCAGGTATCTCCCCTCTAATTACTCTGAGGGCATCTGCTGGAATCTTAGTTCCACAAACGCCCTACACAGCTGCAGGAAAGTCAGTGTCTCAAGGTAATGGGGCCTTGAGTGGTTGATCTTGATTTGGGGGCACCAAATAGAATAATGGGCAACCATAATGGATCTTGGTTGGCATCCTGATCAAAGATCCAATTTCTTAGGTCACATGGACTGAGGACTAAATATTTATCCATTTGGAGACTGTAAGCCCTAAGCTTATCATGACACTTTTGCGCCCAGCCACCTGTCCTTAGTTGCTCTAACCAACAGAGCTTGGTAAGGATATGGTCCTCAAAGGCATTTAGTCTGCACCAGTATCTGAGATGGGCTAGATCGATTCTGGCTGTCATTGAGGGGAGACCCAACTGGGCTCTGGGGTGAGTTGCCAGCGTCGCTGGTGGAAGCCCCAATATCTGCCTCATGAATTTATTTTGTTGGGCTTCTAGTTCTGATTTGATACCGCTTCCCAAATCTTAGCCCCATAAAGCATTTGTGCAATGAAATTTGACATGCAGATCTTGATGGCTGGATTGATTAATTTTGAGCAGAGGAACCTGTACAGCTGTCCAGAAGAGCGGGCAGATAATAGCTTGATTGCATCCAGATAGGGTTTCCATGAAAGCTTTTCATCAATAAGTAATCCCAATTTATTTATCGGCATGGAAGGTTTTTCAGAAAAAGTCCGCCTAACAGGGCTGGTGGAAATTTTAATTTGTATATTTATTTGGACACCTTAACCTTGGCCCTGATAGTCGCTCTTTCTCCAATGCTGAGTTGGCACCATTAGTTTTCTTTACTTCCAATAAAGTGCCCCTGTTGTCCTTTCTGAGTGGGAGCCACAACACTGGCCAGGTTATTACATCAATAAACACATTCTTACCAGCATTAACCTCGGCTTTCACCTCTTTTATATCTTCATTAATATCCATCTGAAGCTTGCTGAGCTGGATGTTGATTCTGTCTTCGGTCTTCTTTGCTCCGTGTTCTTCCGTGGTGATCTTTTGCCCGTCTTCCATTTTATTAAGTTTCCCTTGGATCTCGCTGAATTGCATCTCTAAGGCCCTGCTGTCCATTTCCTAGGATCAGTCAAACAATTTAAGACTTGCAATGATAAGATAAAACTGCCACATGTTTAATTTCTAGGCTAAGTCATTCAGGAAGTGCAACCCTCACTGGGACCCCACACAAACCAAGGCCTGTGGTCTGCAAGGGTTTTTTGCAGGATTTCCCTGGCACAAATAAAGGTGAGATGGCTTGGCTCAGGAGGCATTTCAGCAGGAGGCTGAAGCTCAGTTCAAATAAAATTGGGAACTGGCTTCCTCTTATGAGAATAAATCTCAGGCTTGAATGCTCCTTTCATTCTCCTTGGAAAATGGAAGCTTCAGATTTGGTTTAGGACGAGCTACCTATAGTTTTCTATTACATCTGAAATCAGGGAACTGTGTTTTATTCTAACCATGCTTAGTTAAAACAAACTAGGATCAAATATGTATAGTGAGGGGCCTCAGAACAATTTTATAGAGGGCATAGGAAGATTGGGGAGGTGTTGAAGTAACAATATATTTCCAGAGCGCTTAGCAGTGGTGTGGTTAAGCGATTTTAGACCTTGGACTCAGTGGTCTTACAGAGGCCCCCTTTAGGCACCATGTATATTTATTAAGTTGTGAAGTTTTACATTCTTGATATATTGGAGCAGAAAACAAAAAACAGTTGGCAACTCTGATCTTTTTATAAAAAGAATACCCTGAGCAGTAGTAGTTTCTCAGTTTAAACTCACAACTCAAAGTCTACATTACATCTGCAGGAATAGAGTGGAGTTTGTTTTTGCTGCTAAACATCTGGCTTATGAATAAACATCCTTTTTGTTGCATTAAAGGATAACCTATTTATTTAAAGTAAAAATAATTAAAATGAGCATCTGTAACCATGCACATCCCATTAACTCGAAAATGTTTTAATAATTCAGAGGACAGCAAGGCTACCATGGTGACCAGCACCGCCCCCTGGTGGACTCAGGCGCTGATGCCTCCTGGATGGTCATTTGGGGAGCCCCTGGGCTGAGCGGCCCTGGATATCATAGCAAGATCTGGAAGCGGGGTTGTGAAGGTCTTTCCAGGTGTGTTTGTGTGGGGCGGGGGGTGGCCAGGATTGTAAAATTACTTTTCAGGAGCTTTTGGAAGACACGAAACGTACACTTTTTTCCTTAATGGCCAGGGACAGCTGATCAATCTTCTCCAGAAACTCTTTCTCAAACCGGTCATGCTCCTGTTCCATCCAGCTTCGTGCAGATGAGATCTGGTTACTGAGGTAATCAATGGCATCCTGTAATCTAGGGGAATAAAATGCATTAAGAGGAAATATTTTTTAAACATGACCTCTGAATGAATTTGGCAGAACTAAATGATTTTTTTTGGGGGGGGGAATCTTAACTTGACGTGAATTTCCTTGCAAATATTTAAATTTATATTGTTCTAGTGTGGCTTTTTGGGCAACACTCCTCATTAGGATAAAGTGTAAAATACCAAATTTTGGCAAGTTAATCAGTTAGTGATTTAAAATCTGAGACAATGTTAATGTTTAATTATGGGATGCGGGTGGCGCTGTGGGTTAAACCACAGAGCCTAGGACTTGCCAATCAGAAGGTCGCGGTTTGAATCCCCACGACAGGGTGAGCTCCCGTTGCTCGGTCCCTGCTCCTGCCAACCTAGCAGTTCGAAAGCACGTCAAAGTGCAAGTAGATAAATAGGTACCACTCCGGCGGGAAGGTAAACAGCGTTTCCGTGCGCTGCTCTGGTTCGCCAGAAGCGGCTTATGCTGGCCACATGACCCGGAAGCTGTACGCCAGCTCCCTTGGCCAATAAAGCGAGATGAGTGCCGCAACCCCAGAGTTGGCCACGACTGGACCTAATGGTCAGGGGTCCCTTTACCTTTACCTTACATCAAAATTGAATTTTAAAACAATCGTTTTGGATTCATAAGACTCTGACCTGAAGAAAATGAATGAGCTCATGTTGAAACATGCAAGGTTAAAGAGGCAAGAACTATCCCATTGCTGCATTATAGCTCAGCATTCCACTTTCTTTTGTGGTCAGCAGTGAACAGTAGCCTGGGGAATATGGAGATCACACAGAAGCAGCCCTCCTCTCCACTGTTGTCCATCCCCTGACATCTGGTACTTAGAAGTACACTGCCTTTTAACAAAGAGGCTCCATTTATTTAACTAACAGCCTTTAATAGGCTTATCCCCAATTAAGTTGTCCAATTTTTTAAAAAAGGTTTTGTAGCATGAGGCCTTTTTCCTGATTTAATTTTTTTTCATTATGCAAATATAGACAACTGTGGTTTGCAAACAAGCCTTTTATTTCAATTCTCAGAAAGTTGCTTCCCCAAAAGTCTTCTGTGGTTTCACACCAAACTTTCGCAAATTTAGAAAAATGGATTTTGAAATATATGGTGACACTCACTTTGTGTCCAGAAGGTGGAGCTGTTGGTTGCTCTCTTTATATGTGAGCTTCAGTTTGGCTTCCTGTTGCATGATTGACTGCTCTATTCTGCTCAAAAGGTGAGAAATCTGAAAGGGAGGAAAGAACATTTCTTCTGCTAGCTGTTTACTTAATCCTGGTTTCAAAGGATAAAACACCTCTGAAATGCGTGAAAACTGATAAAGTGATAAAACTGAAAGAAGCTGAAACAGGAAGAGTATGTAAAACAGCTTCTTTCATTTTGGTTTTAGGCAACTGCACAACATCCTTCAAGAAAACAAAAGGCCGCCCAGTGAATGAGAACCATCCTGTAACAGGGATCCACTGTGAGAGATCCCTCCTTTCCCCCAAAGAATAAAGACCCTTTGGATGGAGATGATCTGCCATCTTGGCCCTTTCTGCAAGGGAGGGAACCCCTGTGCTTACACCTTCGGTTGCTTGGAATGAAACCCACTTGAACGATTACGCAGAAAGTGGCTGTTTCGGAGGCTAGACAGATGTCTTGTCTATGAAGGCTGAAGTTTGGATCTTGTCACTATGGTGAGCTTTTGCTAGGGACTAGCAGAAGCACTGTGCTGTATAGAAAAACACCCAGCAGAAGCGGGGGCAAGAGGAGAGGGAAGCACTGACCACCCACACATTCCTAGCTAGAGAGAGAGAGAGAGAGGAGAGATCAGAAATAGACGCCACAGATGCGTGTTCCCAAACCCAGGTAACCAACCATGGGGTTATATATAGATATATGTATACATTCACTTACGCTGATTGCATTTTCTTGCACACTGCAGACTGCTGAGGTGTTCCTTTGTTGCAGACTTTCAGTCAGCAGAATTAAAGCTCTCATTTCACACAGCACTTGAGAGTGTGTGCTCCCTTATCCAGCAGTACCCTTACCCCACAACTAAGATGTTTTTGTAATGTTTACTCCAAAGTAAGCCAAGATCAGCAAAGGTCACTTCCAGTGTTGTTTAAAAGTTTCCTGCTTGCAGGACCCTTGTCCCCTTTCACTGCCCCTAGCAGGGAATCGCTTCCTCCAAAAGCAAGTTGAGGAGACTGAGTACTGACACGACTGGAGTTGAGACAGGTCCACTGGGACGTAAGAGTTTGGCATAAACCCTGATATTTGCAGTAGTTGGTGTTTTTTCCCCCAAGTTTCAAAGAAAAAACTAAGCCCTCCCCACCTGCTGCTGCCTAAAACACTCCAGCTGAATGTGGACCAAGCATGTTCATCCGTCAATGATGAATGTCAGAAAAGGAAAATGGAAAGGAGGGAGGGTCAGGAGGGCGGAACGGAATGGTCCGCTAGGGCAGTGTTTCCCAACCGGTGTTCCGCGGCACACTAGTGTGCCGCGGAACGTTGCCTTGTGTTCCGTGGGAGGGAGGCGGGTGAGTCGGGCGGCGAGAGGCGGGGCGGCGGCAAGCACACGCGGGGCGGCGAGCGAGCTCCCTCCCACATCCCATCGCCGCTCGCTTCGGCCGTCCGGGACAGCGGAGAAACGCAGCGCGCCATCCCGCTGCCCCCGACTTGGCTGGAAGGCTGGCGGGGAGAGAAGCCTGCTCCCCCCCGTCGCCAGCCCCGCAAACTCGGGGGACAGCGGGAGAGGCGCAGCGCGCCATCCCGCTGTCCCCCGACTTGGCTGGAAGGCTGGCGGGGGGAGAAGCCTGCTGCTCCCCGTCGCCAGCCCCGCAAACTCGGGGGACAGCAGGAGAGGCGCAGCGCGCCATCCCGCTGTCCCCCGACTTGGCTGGAAGGCTGGCGGGGGGAGAAGCCTGCTGCTCCCCGTCGCCAGCCCCGCAAACTCGGGGGACAGCAGGAGAGGCGCAGCGCGCCATCCCGCTGTCCCCCGACTTGGCTGGAAGGCTGGCGGGGGGAGAAGCCTGCTCCTCCCCGTCGCCAGCCCCGCAAACTCGGGGGACAGCGGGAGAGGCGCAGGGCGCCATCCCGCTGTCTCCCGACATGGTTTGGAGGCTGGCGGAGGGCTTCCTCCTCCCCCAGCCCCGCAAGCTCCCAGAGCGATGCCAAAGCTGCGCGCAGCTTCGGCATGGCTCTGGGTCCCGTTCTGGGGGAGGGGGAAGCTCGGGCTTCCCCGCCCCAGCCCCGCGCCTGGCGGTGGGGGAATAAATTTTTTTACCCTTTATTTCCCTCCGCCCCCCCCCCCCGCCAGGCTTCGGAGGAGGTCTGAGGACAGTGGGGAAGACGCGCGTCCCTCCCGGCGCGACGCTGCGCGCTGACGTCACGGGGTTGTAATGGTGGTGTGCCTCGAGATTTTTTTCATCAAACAAGTGTGCCTTTGCCCAAAAAAGGTTGGGAAACACTGCGCTAGGGGAGAGCCTGGCTGGCTGGCAGGACCACTCCTGAGAGGATATAAAGTATGCACTGCAACATTTTGTTTCAGGTCCCACTTTTTACTCATGAGTAGCCTGTTACTTGCTCCTTGATGAGCCGCTCTGAATTTCTCTTTCATGTTGTACATCCTTGTTTCTCCACTGGGGTGGGGGATTTGGGGGGGATGTTAATTATTAGTTTCTTCTCATTCTGCTTCTTTTTCTTTTTAACAAATAGCACTATATATAGAGAAAACAGCAAGATAAAATGGGCTGACTGGATTCCGTGTAAAAAAGGAGTGAACCAAGGATGGCAGTCTCAAGCTAAACTGCTGCTTGCAGGGAGCAACTGAAAACTCATCTCAAGCTCCATGAAACCAGTAGCACGAAACTGCCTCATTCCAGATAATGTGTATTTATTTATATATTCTGCCTTTGAGGGCAAGGGTAGCCGTTTTCTATTGCTTGTTGCAGGCTACCCTGGAAGCAGTGAAACTATAACAACTTTATTTATTAAAAAATATTTATCTCTAGCCACACTTTTTGGCCACACTCAAAATGTAGCAAAAAGGAACGTATCTGGTTGATTTCATTGCAGCCTCACACAGCTTCTCCCACTCCTGGCTGGTGTGCTTAGTACTACAGTGTAAGTGTGATGGGAGGTTGTTTGGCATTTCAGGAGCAAAAGAGGCCCACCACCCCTGTTGCTGAACCTTAAGACTGCACAGCATTTGGAAGATAAAAACTAAAATGGGTCAACTGGGGGCTAATTTCCCAGTTTAGAATCTGAATGCATAGCCAGCCTGCTGGACTCAGGATGACCACCTTCTTCCCCTACTGAGGAAAACCACAGATGTCTAAATACAGCTGTTTTGGATGTCATGGGATTGTGTTTCCACCGTGACTAATAGACAGAAAGCGCTGCAGAGTAATGCAGGCTGGGTGTGTTGGGGGGGAGAGAGATGATGACTTAACACATTTTTATGGAACAAATTTCCTTGCAAATGACTTTCCAGATTGTGAGTGGGCCTTGGCAAGGCAGGATAACAAACACGAGCTTTCTTCAAGAAGACAGATGGGTCAGAAGACATTTCCAGGACCTGTTTGCAGTTTTCCCAAAGGCATCCGGCAGAACGCAGTGGGAAATAAATGCAGGATTGTGGTGCAAAGAACTCTAGATAGAGTTGGGAGTTATTTCAAAGTTCATCTAGTTCATTGGTCTTCAACTGGTGTGTCCAGACCCACTGGTAGGCTGGGGCCTGATCCAAGGTGGGTTGCATCAGGGGCACCACCACCACCATGCAAATATATGGGAAAAGATTAACAAAATGGATCCCCAATTGTGCATTTGGGTTAAAAGTGGATCCTGGGTCTGAGAAGGTAGGAGATTGCTGATGTAATCCATCCAACTCGGCTAATACAGGAGATCTGCTGCTACAGCATGCCTGGCAGGTGGCTCATTTACATTTTCTGTTTGTGACATTTTCTTCCTGCTGCCTTCCAATCCCCAAAGAATCCCCCAATTCCCCAATTCAAACAGATTTCAAAGGATATAAGGCAGTTAATAAAAATTATGAAACAAGGCAAAAGCATCAGAACGGCATAACCTCAACTACTATATTTGCCCATATCTACAAACAACACGAGATTCATCTGCCACAAAGACTTTCACGAACTGTCACCATCGAAAGGTGAGCAGTGATGAAGCCAGGTGGGCCTCCAGCAGAGGGCATTCCAGAATTGTATTGGCATTGTAAGCAGCTTTGTGGGCCACCTCAAACAGAATGCCGGGAAAGCCAAAACAAGCTCCCACCTTCCAGCAGGTGTACTGTCTGAATTTGGGTTTCCTCTGGAGGACCTGAGGTGTTTTTGTAACATTTGGTTCATATTCACATATGCCAGCAGAGCATAAGTGGAGGGAAAACAGGTGGCACTCCTAGAAAGCAACAGATCCACTAACCCAAATCAGCTTCCAGGAGAGAAGCCTCTCAGCTTCCAGGTGTCTTCAGCTGCCTCACAGCTCTCTTTGTCTCCCATTCTCCATTGCCAACTATTTTGCACATGCACTGTTGGCATCAGGCTCTGTCCCCCACAACCCTTTAGCTGGAGGTGTAGTGTGTCACCTTCTCCAAGCTGTGGCAGCGCTCTCTCTTCAAAACACTCAACAGAGATTGCCACCTCTCAAAAGACCCTCCCTGGACAATCAGATCCCACCTTTGTCAGTTATTGCTCTACTAAATGGTCAATGCACATCTCTTGTTTACATGGAATTTGTCTTTTGCATTTCGTGACCATCTGGGCACACAGCCTACAATTTCCCCGCTCTGTACTAATATGTGTGTGTGTAGGTGGTTCATATGCATCAATAAGCCAAATCATGGTTTAGTGTGGGTGTGTGGACCCAGACAGATCACAGCCACTTTGCTCATCTTCTGGTCCTGCTGCTGCTGAAGAGCTGGCTGCACTAAACTATGGCTTGGCTTAGCATGCTGTCAGATCCTGAGCTCATGGTTTGTCTCACTCCAGTTTGCTTTCCATCCTTGATGTCAGTCCTGCTCCTCTGGCCTGAGAGAGAACAAATGCCTGCTCCATCTTTTGTGTGCAAGACATCCCATCGGATAGCTTAAAACTGCCATCACATCTCCCCTTCATCTGTTCTTCTCCGGGCTAAGCAGACCCAGATTTTTCAGCCATTCCTTATAGGACTTGGTTTCCATCCTGATCACTCTTCTCTGGACACACTCCCATTGGTCTACACTCTTCTTAAATGTGGTACCCAGAACTGGACAGAGTACCCTAGGTGCAATCTGTCCAGCATGGAATAAAGAGGAAATGTGACTTTTCAAGATCTGGACACTATGCTCTCCTTCATGGAGCTGAGGGTTGTGTTCACTTTTTCAGCTGTGGATGCCCTATGCCGAGAATTTTTTTACAACTGGAAAAATATTCCAGTTTTCCCTGATATTCATAACTGAAAAGCAGATACATCTAAAACAGTAACTAAGAATTATTGGGATCCATTATTTTTTCATATCTTACCTGTATTTCTGCTTCTTTTATTTTAGACTCCAATATCAACTTGGTCGCCTGCTGATCTTTGCTTAGGTTCTGTAGTCTTTCGTAGGTAACTTTGTGTTCAGCAGACAATCTGGCTAACCCAGTATCACACCTATTCAGGAACAACAGGGATTATTTGGAGTTGTCATAGGCACTTTTTCGCTTGCCTCCCAGCAGCTTATTCCAAAAATACTCACCTTACCTGCCACACTATCACAGACTAGAATTGTTGATAATTGTTAATAATTTTATTACTCTTTAAAAAAGAAGAAGTTTGAA